ATAACAGATTTATTTATGATGGGTTAAATTTTCTAATTGAGGCATATGCAAGGGAATTGGCTAAGAATAAGGTATCAGAGAGGACAAAAGGAAAGTTTGCAGAGAAAGGATATGGTATATTAATTGTGGGGAATAGAAAAACAGGACTACTAGAGAAATCAAGTAGGGATTGCTGGGTACTTCTTAATGCTAATTGATGTTTATCATCTTGAATCTGAAAAATCATTGAGGATTTTTATCTCATACAACATCACAAGATTATTTATTTTATAAATTATTTTAAACTGCAACATCCCAACATTATTTCATAGATCACACTCCTTTGATACTATGCTCTATAGTCAACCTCTTATATTAGTATACCATTCACTGAGTGCTTATTTTGTACAAGGAAACAACTAATTACTTCATCTAATTTAATGAATTAACTAATCTAACCATCATAACCCTCATAAAGTATTATAATTATTGTCATTTTATATATGAAAAAATCTGAAGCTTAGAGAAGATAAATACCTCACTAGAATTAGAATTCATGCAGCTAGTAGAGAACTGAGCTAAGATTCAAACCCAAGACTATCTGACCCCAAAGCCAATGATCTAAGCCACTGTGCATTCTCTTATTTCAGAATAAATATGCTATTATTTAGTCCTATATATAAATGACAATGGACTTCTCAAAAAAGCTTATCACTGATTTGTCTAATAACTTAAAAGCTTAATAGATATGCACTCTAAAAGCATGAATAATCATATATTAATCCTTGTTGAATTCTAAATGCATAAAAATATTTGTTTTCTTGAGTTGATTTTTAAACAATTTGGCAAAGTATATATGACCTTCATAATGCCATAAAATATTACCCATTTGGGTGGTATAGTTAAATGGATATTCTTCAGATTTTGGTGGAAATAAAAACTACCAGTATCATTTTAGAAAGCAATTTGGAAATATAAGTCAAGAATTTAAAACATTCATATCAATTAACCTTATGATTCTATTTCTGAGACTTATGCCAAGGCAATGATTTTATAGAGAAAAAAAGCTTTATGCACATTTTTCAGACACATTACAGCATTTTTAATCACAGTGGAGACCCATATAGCCAAACAACCTAAAAAGGGTGGAGAAATACCTTATGGGACAACATAAAATGTAATATTGCAAAGTCATTAAAAAGTTTAAGTAATTATAATATTAGGAAAATTCTTAACAATGTCAAATATATTAGGAATAATGCCAAATATATTCTGAAGCTTTTCCTTAGTTATTTCCAGGCATATGTGGAATTACTACTTGCATGCAAATTTAAAAATAAAAACAAGTTTTAGAAAAATATTTATTAAACGAGATTTAGATATTTAATAAGCCCCAAATTATTGTTATTGACAAGGCAAATAGACAATAATATTAATCAGAACTTTAAAAACTAAACCATTCTAGAGACCTTCTTACATTTGAGATTTTATCTTTTTCCTGTGCAGTTATGGAACTCGTTTTTCTTCCTTCAGTTATAAAAACCTGTAAGATTTATATTTCTTATCACACATATAATTTTAATTTGCTGAAAATAAACAGCTTAATTCACATATAATGCAATTCACTCATTTAAAGTATGTTTAAAGTATAATTCAATGGGTTCTCATATATTCATAGAGTTGTACAACTATCTCCCCGATCAATTTTAACATAATCTAACCCAGCTAAAGATTTACATCTATGTTTTCTTCCAAGAGTTTTACATTTAAGTCTGATTAATTTAGACTTTTGTACATGCTGTGAGGTAGCAGTCCACAAACATCTTTCAATGTTTATATTTCATGTTGATAATGTAAAACTTTTAAGCATATTCAGATTCCAAAACTCATTCTTAGCTCTTAAAAGATTTTGTTAACTTATCACGAGTATTTTGTCTACTTTCCTACAATTGAGAAAAGTGTTTATCAGCTCTTATCTTCTCTTTGTGACAGCTCAGTAATTTATAGTTTTATTTTATACTTTTCTTCTTTCCTTACTTGTACTAAAATGTTGTGAAAGTTAAATTTCTTTAGATCACAACTTTTGATTATTATAAATTAAATACAGAGGTATAATTGCAAAGTACCAAATAGGTTGCCATAAAAGTAATTTTATCTTTACTTGTATTTTTCATATTTATTACTTCAAATTCTTACTAAAATATTTTCAGTTTTGTTTAAAATACATTGTGTATTTTTTAGTTTAAATTTTTGAATCATTCTTTTAGTCTGTGGGTAAGGAGAAATTTAAATTTTCATTAAAATAATTCAGTTTTTACCTCACTTCTCATTTGTAGGTCTTCCCAGTAACCTAACATATCAATTGTCTCTCCCTCTTTTTTTTTTTTTTTTTTTTTTTTTGCTTAGATTCTAATCTTCATTCTGCCAACTTCCCACCTCTGGACTATCCCCAAAATACCCCAAAATATCCCAATCCCTATACCACGAAACTCTTCAAAGTTGTTGTTGTTGTTGTTGTTTTCAATAGCTCACCAAGATACCTTCAACCATAGCAAAAAGATCACATGAGTTTATCTACTACTTTGGAGCCATAGTTATGTATTCCAAGAAGAAAATTTATTTTATTTCTACTTCCCGCCCTTCCTCCACCCAAATTTATCCTTGGATTTTCACTGATTAGTGCTTTCAAGCTTGCCTGCCTTAGTTCATGTAGCTCCTCCTCCAGGACTGGGGTAAACACTTGTATCACCATTTTAAAGGATATCATTACTCTTTATCTGTGAAGAGTAGAACAAGAAGAAATCCACTTGATTCAGATACTCTCAAGATTCCTAAAGGATTAGAGATCATTTCTCATTCTTCTATAAGCACTTACCTCAGGAAGTATCCAGATAAAAGGTAGGGCACAAATATTCTTTCTAATAGTCTGCTTGTATGTTACAAACCTAATCTTCTGAATGTATTTGTTTTAGCTAGAGGTTTCCAATATGGTTTATTTAGAATTAAGAAGTTTCTTTAGTTTTATTTCAGTAAAAAAAAAAAATTGTGTAATAATTGAAGAAAAAAACTTTCTTATTTTTCTCACATTTTTTAGTTAACTACTTCCTTTCTTGGGAACTACAAAGCCATTATAGTCACCTTTAAATATTATTATTCACATAAATGTGTGTGTAAATCAAATATTATATATGTATATGCATATATGTATTTATTATATACATACATGTAATAATACACTAAGCCATGTTTCTGATTGAGTAGTACATGTTTATATATTGTTACAAGAATATTTTTACTTCACAGACTTATTTAGAGCTGAATCATTTCCTTTCTATGAAAAAACACAGCTAACACCTAAGAATACAGCTAAAAACATTTCCTTTTAAATATTTAAACTACTTGTTCTAAAAATATTCTATTCAAGAATTATTTCCACCTCGTTCAAATATGTAAACTAAGAAGCAATACTCACAACTTAGATAATCATGTTTTAATTTCTGTTTAGAAAAGACTATCACAACTTTGATGTAATATTGTAATTGTATAGGTGATGATTATTGTACAAACCTGATTTTTATTTCACTAACTTAAGATTTTTAAATTTCATCTACTAGATGCTGACACTATGCTCTATTTTCATTTTCAAAGCCTTAGTATCCTCAATGCTTACCATCTTTCATAAGTAAAGTTACTAGTGACAATAAACAAATGTTGTATTTTATAAGGTCCATTTCAAATGTTTAAGGGTTTATCATCATCTCACTGCTCATCTTTAGAAATATTCCAAGAGCACAATGTTGCTTGAAAAGAACTCAATAAGCATATAACAAATTTACTTCATTCAAATATTTATTTTTGCTATTTTCTTTAGTCCTTCTATCCTAGTCAAATTTATAGTTATGATAATGCTTTTCTTTGTATCTCCCAAGTTAAAAGCTTACATTTATATTACCTACAAAGATAAGGGCAGCTAAGTAAAGATCTTATAATTAGTATCAGTGAGTTAGCTGAAAGAATATGTTATATACCAGATGTTCTCAATATCCAGAATGTCAACAGTGAATTAGGACATAGAAGTTAAGATCCCAGATACATGATTTCTTTGTGCTTAATTTTCTCCAAAAGTGATTTATAGCTATCATTATTTTGTTTTCTTTCAGAAATATGACTAATGAGGCAGAAATAAGAATGATAATGTAAAAGTATCTAAAGCAGTGCTGCTCACAGAAGCTTCTGTAATGAAGAAAATGTTCCATATCTGTGCTGTCCAATTTAGTAGCTATTAGCCATGTGTTAGTGGCTACTATATTAAACAGTTCATGTCTAAGGTACTGGATTTATTAAATATTTTCATTTGCAAATACTTTTTCTATTAAGTAAAGTAATTCATTCAATAGCAACAAATATAGATCAGTAAACAAAAGCTAAACTGTAATGACTGTTGCCTTAATATGAACTTTTTCTATCATTATAAAAATTAATAAAGTCCTATTTTTAACATGGCACAGTATATCATCCTTTACGTCGATACAATCCATAAAAACAACTTTGGTACAGACTACCCTAAAAAGACAAGCAATCATCAATTATGAGTATATATGAATTAAAGAAGTAAATAATTCATTTATACTCTTTACAAGTAAAGAAATAAGTAAACATTGTGATGTGAAAAGAAAGATGCTCTAGAAATTTCTTAGATAGATCTTTCCTCAAATCCACCAGGGAAAAGTATACAGGGAGAGTGAAGTTTCAAGTGTTGGAAGAGTGTGAATCAGAAATGATTCAGAAAAAGGTATTCCAGGCATAATGTGCATTTTCAACATAAACCAAGGTAGATGTGTGTTTAGTCAGCAAATTAAATTTTCCCGAGAAGACAGTGGATTTCTCTGAGTAGTAAGAAAAGTAAGAAATAAAATAGTTGAGGACTTTAGAAACTATCGATTCTTCATCCTATCCCAACTTTTAAGTCTTTAGGTGATTCTTTCAAATATATATTAGAAAATTGAAAGGACTTTTAAAACCTGGTTGTTTTGAAGTCTCTCAGAGCTGTAGAGATGTATTCAGATAAATGTTTTTCCATGAGTGCTACTCTGATCCAGGCTCTACCCTGAAAGGAAGAAGAAAGAATCAAATATAAAAAAATTAAATGTTAAAAAAAATTTTTTATTGTTCCATAAAAATACAGTATCTTAAAATGTAAAAAAAAGCATTCAAAATATATATTTGATAAAGACTATGAAAAATATTTAAGTTTATTAAATAGGTAAATTTTTATTATATAAAGTATATATTTTGTTTCTCTGAAGGTATATAGTACAGCACGTCACATTAACTTTCTGTCCTCTGAAGAAACAGAATAACAATACTGAGTTACTTGGATTAGGGACTTCTTTTGAGTTATATAATTATGTAATCCTAAAATATGACTCTACTTCAATACTCAAATCTACATGCTAATTAAAATGAGTACTTTTATAACACATGAAGAACAGTGTTCTCTCTCATGAATAAAAATAATCAGTCTAACACCACTTATTTAAGAAAATCTCCAATCCTATCCTTCTGGAGGGAAGTTTGATACAAATAATAATAAACCTCAAATTTCACGATTTATCACACATCTGAATCATAAGTTATTGAATTTGGTGCCTCCAAATAATTATAAAAACTATTACCTAATATTTAAACCAGAAAAAAACAGATAACAAAAAAATCCAGAAGACAACATATTCTAGCACAGAACCACAGAAACAGATAATTCTCATTAAACGTGACTAATTTTCTTATGGACTCTCTATTCAGAATGAAATAATATAAGAAATCATATTTGCAGTGAGAATTTTATATTTCACTTCATTTTCACTCAATACTTTGACAAATCTCCAAAAAAAATCATGAAATTGAATGCATAGAAAATCAAAATACTACAATGGCAGTTGCAAATAACGGTGACACCAATCAATACAATATGATGGCCAGCTACCATAAAGAAAAAAAAGGCATACTCTAGAATGTCTATAAGACTGGTGAATTCACCAAACTCTTGGGAAGGAAAGGTCAAAAAGATGTCAATCTAGGCAGTGCTAAAACTTGTCAGGCTAGAAACAGCAGTATTAACACCAGGAAGAAAATAATATGGATGCAGTTAGCATGCCAATTTGCCTAACAATGTGCTCAACAACCCTTTTAGCTTGCCCTGTGCTCAGCGCATTGTTTCTTCTGAGTAAGCTAGGGGAACATACAGTTAGCTGTGGTTGACTAGAACAGAGGAAGGAAGGGCAAGCCACTGGCTAGTGAGTACTCTCAAAATTCTCTTGACATTTTATCTCAAAGACACAGAAACTAGTAGTGGCATCTTTAATCAAAAGGCTACAGTTTCATCAATACACAAGCAGGGAAAGTTGCTCTCCAGGGAAAAAGTCAGCACAGGAGACTATGCTGTTGCTAGATAAGAAACATAGGGAAAGTCCTGCTTCCTGATTTATTAATTTCAATCCATACAAAACTGGACTGCACTTAATTTCCTGTCCTTGGATGTGTGTGGAATTCTGTTATATTGTAATAATAAACTGTGCTAATTTTAACGGTTTATTTTCTTTCAACAAAAGAACTTTTACTAGAACAGAAGATAAACAGATTCTTAAGGTCGTTTGGGCCAAAAAGTAGGAAAACTGAAAACTAGGTTAAGGAATTTAGATCTTGACAGTGGTGAACCATTGGAGGGTTTTGAAAAAATAAGTTAATGAAAATAGTCAACACTTCTTAAGAATGTAATTAATATGTATTAGACCCCGTCTTAAGAACTTTATTTACATTAAATATATAATTCTCCCAAGAATTGTGTGAGTTATGTTACAATATTTACCCCCATTTTACGATATGTAAAAACAAAAAAGTAGACCCAAACAGAAGAGAAGAAATTAATCTTCCCATCACCAAACTGACCAACCTAATTGCATTAATACTCATACACTCTACCTTCTTTCCTATTTCAGGGGATGAATTGTCATTATCTATGAGAGTTAAAAGACAGTTTACACACAGGGCAAAGATATTTAAATTATAGATATCCAATTTTTAAAAAAAATTCTTATTTATAAAATACAAAAAAATCCTTGTAAAATCCATAAGAAAGACAACACAATTTTAAAATGAGCTTGCATGGGGAACATTTTACACTATAGATTTATTTAGTAGATATCAGAATATTCAGAATTTTTCTTCCTTTTTGTGTTTTTGTAAGTGATACTTTTTAAAAATTCCCATTTCATCTAAATTTTCAAATTTATATGTGTGAACATGTTCATAATATCCTCTTTTAGGATTTTTAATGTCTGTAAGGTATATGGGGATAGTCTCTTCTTCAATACTAATATTGATCATTTATAGTCTCTTTTTTTCTTAAATAATCTTGCTAGGAGTTTAGCAATTATATAAATCTTTTTAAAAATTTCAACTTTTGGTTTTATTGAGTTTCTTCTAATATACATTTTTCAATTTTACTTAATTTTTATTCGTCATTTTTTTCCTTCTACTTTGAGTTTATTACTTTTTTATAGCTTCTCTTTTTTTAAGTCAGAGTTTTACTCTGTTGCCCAGGCTGGAATGCAGTGGCACACTCACGGCCACTGCAGGCTCGACCTGCTGGGTTCAGGCAATTCTTCCACCTCAACCTTCCAAGTAGCTGGAACTACAGGTGTGCACTATTACATCCAGTAACTTTTTAAATTTACTGTAGAGATGGGTTCTCACCTAGTTGTCCAGGCTGGTCTATGACTCCTGGACTCAGGCAATCCTCTCGTCTCTACCTCCCAAAGTGCTGGGATTACAGGCATGAGCCACCGTGCCCAGCTGACTTCTAGCCTTTGTTCTTTTTTTTAAATACACAAAAATCATCCAACTTTCCTACAAGCACAAGTTTTATATATTATATTTTCATTATGAGTATTTTCCAAATATTTTTCAACTTTAATTGTGATCTCTTTCTTCATTAGTTATTTTCACTCATACAAGCATATTCTAGTTCTTTTTCCTTCTTTGTTTTATATTCTAGCTTAATTCTACTGTGGTTAGAGAACATACTTTATATAATTTCAATCCTCTGAAGTTCATTGAGATGAATTTTGGCTCAGTAAATGTCAATTTTTATGTTAATCCTATGTATGTTTGAGTATATATTTTGCAGTTTTCTCTAATTTTTAAATATATTCCAGTTCTCTAGTAACTGTTCTCTAGTCATGTTCTTTATTTCTATTTTCAATTTCTATTTATTTCTATTTTCTTGAACCTACTATAATGACTTTAAAGTCCATAATTTCTATCACTCATAGGTCTGTTTCAATTATCTTTTTTATTTTTCTTGATTTCAGTCATTTGAACTTGTTTTTTGATATGCCTGATATTTGATTGGCTACTGGACATTTTGTATGAAAATTTGTAGCAACTCTGATGCTTTCTCCAGAGTAGATTTACAATTTTCTTCTGGCAGGAAGATAGAGTACGGGAAAAAATCACCTTGCACCATTCAGGGCACCATTTTAAGGTCTTTTTTTTTTTTTTTTTTTGCATTATCTTCTGAATTTCCCTGCCTTCCAAGGTACAGTCTTTCAGAGGTCTCAAATGAAAGCCTAGAATGTTTACAGGGCCCTTGTACCTTGTTTGCCATAGAACTCTAACCTTTGTCTCTTCAGGACAAGACTGTTAAATCTTCAGTCAGCTGTTTTATCTCTTACCTGCTGCTTATAGTTTGGTTTATAGAACTTTTGCTCTGTGCTACGGATGACTAAGTGTTGGCAACAACCTCAGAAAAACCGCATGCACAACTTTAGGCCCCTTTGTCTGCAGTTCACTGGCAGTTCCAAGCTCCAACTTTGTTTCTCTAGCCAAGGAAAATGAAAACAACCATCCCTCACCTCCACTACTTACTGCCTCTATAGCTAGGATGTCAATAGACAAATGACCTTAAAATCCTTCTCTCCAGGATAGTGGTCACTCAAATTCTCATAGTCTTGGTTGTTACTTTATGCCTTAAATGTCTTGTTTCATGTATTTTCATTCAACCTTTATAGTTGTTCTCAGCAGAAGAGTCACTTTGATACAAGCTATTCTGTGATCACTGGAACCAGAAGTGAATTCTTTACTAACCTCCAGGATCATCTCTTTTTTAGACTCCAATTATATTCTTCTAACTAGACTTTCTGTTTCTATTCCTCCCTTTTATTTATTCTCCAAACAGTACCAAGCTGATCTTCTAAAAATGTGAACAATTATCATAATACTTAAGAAAGTGATTGGCAGTAGTGGGAAACTCCCAGGGGAAGGGAGGTGGGATTGGCAGTTGAGGGAAACTGCCAGGGGAGGGAAGGGCATACCTCATCAACAAGGGTACCTACATAATGAACATTTGTATACCTAATCCTAAATTGTACCCCACATCTTTAAAATAAAAAATAAAATAAATAAAAATGTAAGTCAGATTACAGTATTCTATTGCTTAAAAAAAAAGGAAATTATCAAGTAGTTCCTCCACTGCACTGAGCATGACATAGTCTTGATCATGACCATTTCTTCTATTCTACACCTTGCTTACTCTGCTCAATATTTGCAGCAAATGTATTTTTTTCATCAAGTCTTGGCTCAAATGTTATTTCCTTAAAGAATCCTCCCTTAGCAACCATATCTTTAAAAAGTGTGCTCTCTACCACCACTCTGTTTATTTTTCTGTTCACTAATCTCTCAACTTGTTTGTTTTTTTCCATAGACCCTGAGATTATGCTACATATATATTAATTTATTTGTTTACCATATTAATAAAATGTAATGTACATAACATTTGCTGTATGCCATTCTATTTTTACCACTGCCCCTGTATTCCCAGTGTTTATAACAGTTTCTGGCATATAATAGGCACTCAATATAAACTTGTAGAATAAATGGATAAAACTAAAGGAGATGAGTAACTTGTACAAAGCTACTAAGCACTGGAGCCACCAGTAACAAGTAGAGAAAGGGAATGATATAATAAAAATCGTACTTTAGGAAGATTCAACTGAAACTAGTACTTAAAATGGATAGCATGTAAAACAAAGGGGTGGAATGAGAATATCT